TCGGATTGCTCGGCCTAGTCGGCACCATACGGTATAGTACTTATTTTGATTTGAGCATCAAAATGCCTTTTACATAAGTATCTCTCCTTTGCTTTTCAATCTGGAGCTCTCATTCAGTCTGAAGATCCCAAATCTTCACATGAAGATTATTAGTGTGTCTTCAAACAGTTACAAAAAATATTTTCATTCAAAATATTTTTAAAATAATCTCAAATTTGAAAATAATAAAATGACGTTTTCAATTGAAAACAGTGACGTGATAGTAAATGTTGGAATTTTTTCCTTCGAGTCACGGTACCGGTTCTTTTCTAATCTTACATTTAACGCACATAATTCAATGAATATGTGCTTTTTATACACATAACTCAGTTAATTACGTGTCTTCTATTTTCTTTAGTGAAGCTTTATGTTTTTCCTAGGCATATCCAATATATTAATATTTTATAATTTATTTAATTAGTATATTTTAGCATGTATAGCTAAATGTTTTATTTTATATTATTAAAATTTATAATCAATTATATAAACAAATCAATATTATATTTGAATATTAATTATATTAATATTTGCAAATAAATATCTGTAAACAATATAAGTTATATTTTAGTTTTTACATAAAAATTTATATTGATTACAAAATATAAAAATTAAATTTATAAGTAAATATTATAAATAAAATTGAAATAAATAGGAAAATGATATATTCAAAATTCAAATAGATAAAAACTTAAAAATATTAAAATAAATATAAAAGTGATCATAAGGATAATATTTGAATTTTTGAAGATCAAATTATAATTTTATTTTGATGTTCAGCTGCTACTTGTTTAGATAATAGATTTCACTAGACACTACTAGAATTTTTTTTATTACATATGACTTTTCCTGCGAATTTTTATGAAAAATTCGCAGGAAACGTTGTTCTTGCAAATTTTTCTGCGAAATTTTATCTACAAGTAATATCTTCGTGGATTATATATTTTTGTAAATTTTAAAATTTGCAGGAAATTTTTCTGCGGAATTTCTTGCGAAAAAAATTTGCAGGAAAGTTTCCTGCAAAAAAAATTTGCAAGAAAGTTTCCTGCAAAAAAAAAATTTCGTAGGAAAGTTTCTTGCGAATTTTTTTGCAAAAAATTTTGCAAGAATATTTTTACGAAAAAAATTAAAGAAATTACTAATTCATCCGAAACATTTGTTTCCATGCCTCTAACATGTGATACATAATCTTTTAAATTCTAAGATTGTAGATTATAAGCTTAATATTCAACCATACAAATCAACTTGTAAGATAAGTGTTGCCCCAACTTATATACTTTTTAATTGTTTTATTTTCAATCGATGTAGGACTTGAAGTTTTTTTAAAATATTAAACTTATAAATATAAATATTTTTTTTTATTTTTCTTGCAGATTAAAATTTATAGGAAAATTCGCAGGAAAAGTTACCTGCAAAATTTTTCTACCAATTTAGTAAACATTACTTGCGAATTTATTTTTACAAAAAAATCTGCAAGAAACAAAATAAAATTCTTATAATATTTTCTGCAAATTTTTACCGTGACAAAAAATTTCTATAATTATTAAAATTGTAGCAAAATTTGTAAGAAATATCTGTAAATTATTTTTTGCTAATAAATTCGCAAAAAATTTCTACGAATATTTTTTTGCAGGAAAATTCGTAAAAAATTTCTGCAAATATTTTTTTGCAAAAAAATTTACAAAAAATTTCTGCGAATATTTTTTTGCAGGAAAATTCGCAAGAAAATGACACTTTTCTAGTAGTGAGATATTAAAAAAAATATAAGAGACACTTGTACATTAAGAAAGTAAAACTCACTTACCATAAATAATTATTATAATTTATATATGTAGAATGATTTTACTTGTAAATTTTATACGAAAAGTATTTTATGAATTTTTATTGAAAATAGTTAAATCAAACATATTTTTTTAAATTTAAATTTTGAAAACGAAAATTATTTTTTTAAAATGAAAACAAAAAATAAAAATAGAAAATATTTTCCGTAACCAAACACACCCTACGGAGGGGATAGGAATTAACTTTCTTGTTTTCCTTATCTCTCAATTTTAAAATGACACTTAATTAAAAAATTATTCTATCTTATTATTATTTTAGGTGTATTTTTTTTCATAGAATGAAAAATGCAAAAAAAAAATATAATATAGTGATTTGCATCCGTTCCATCATGATAAGAGAAAACTGACGCGTTAGTCAATCCTTTTTTACAAACTAAATAATCTCCCCAAGTACAAAAATAAAAGGGAGAAACCAAAGCAAAGATCCTGAAAAGAACACACAAAAAAAAAAAAAAGAAACCACCCATAAAGAATCGATGAAACCTTAACCACTATTTAGGTAAAAATTGATCTTCCAAGGAGTGAAAGTGGCTACTTTCTCCCTCAAGAAACCGCACAACCTAAAGAACAAGTGTTAATTGTAATTTGCACTAACAAATGAAAGATATTTGGCAACATTAAATCTAAATTGAAATTTCTTAATAAAAGTAAAAATGAGATCAAAGAAATTAGGTCCAATTAACTACCTGTCCCATTGATGGACGCTTCTCAGGCTTCCTTTGAACACACGAGTGTGCTGCTTTAGCCATGAGGTAGAGTTCATAAGTGTCATATGATTCTCCTAGACGGGTGTCAATCAATTCATGTAAAGCCAACTTTTCAATAATTGGCTCAGCCTAAATGTTTTCATGCAGAATTTGTCAAGGTTAGTTATATTTTGAGTATAAAATATCAAAAGGCTTTGAATATAGTAGAATTTTGCAAATATTTGAAGACATAAACAATCGAAGATACCCATTGTCGGAGAGATTGTTCTCGTTCTGGATTAGTGGAATTGCCAACCTGGCGTCCTGATATCAACTGTAACAGAACAATGCCATAAGAATACACATCTAATCCCACAGAAACAATACCATCTTCGGCATACTCGGGAGCAAGGTATCTACATTAACAAAAACAATGATTTTTTGTTATAGATAGTTTTTTGAGTTTGACATTTCGAACCATGTAATTTGGCACCCTATATTAACAAATCCTCACCCCATTGTGCCCATTATCCTTGTTCGTAGAGTGTCATCACCAGTCTTCCATTTAGCAAGGCCAAAGTCACCTAGCTGCATTTATAACACATCAATTAATTCAAATCACTCATCCCCTATTGTCATCACAATAACCTGCGGGAAGTTAGTCCTTGAACACCAAATTATCCACAATGGATCATTTAAAAGAAGTTACAAAGGCATCAATATCAAGGAAGTAGTTTATAGTTGCAAATACATTAAGGAGACATGGACGGTCTCAAAATTAATATGTAAATATAAAATCTAGAAAGGGGAATTTAGATTCAAAGGGTCACTGATAATATTATCAAAAAAATGAAAGGTCAGCTAGCAAATAAATTTTTCGTTTGTAGAAGTTTATTGTGCCACTTAATTTTACTTTATAAATTGTTCTGCACATAAAATTAGTCCTATCAAATGAATTATTTAGTATTTTTTTTTCTGTTTATGCGTGGTTAAAAAAAAACTAATTGGTTAAAGACATAAATTAATGGAAGATTTAGCCAGAGGCTGAAAAACTAATGTCCAATGTGAAACTTGTATTTTCTCGAATATCCCCTCTATTGTTTAATTGCAGACTTGATGTACAATTTAGTTTTTTAATTTTCTTAATGTGTGACTTGCTTATTCCCCAACATGTATTATATTATAGCTTTAAGAGTTTGAAAGATGAATAGCATAGGAACAAAAAGAGAATGAGAATGAAGCATTTGTGCTACCTTAAACTTACCATGGGAACAAAATCATGGGTTAGAAGTATATTGCTTGGTCGCATGTCCCTATGAATAATAGGACCACCACGACATTCCTCATGCAGAAAACGCAATCCCTTTGCTGTCCCAATAGCAATAGCATACCTTTGGTGCCACTCTAGAACCGCTTCATTATTTTCTACAAAAATGCACGTTTTCGCATACCCATAAAAAGTAAACCATACATAGTTGACATAAAATATAATTTTGAGACTTAAAAGCATAAGATATAGCAGCACAAAACAGGCACTTACCAAATAAATGCCAATGGAGAGACTTGTTGCAAATATATTCATAAATCAGAATATTTTTCTTTCCTTTGCAACAGTAACCCAACAGCATCACTATGTTCTTGTGTCGAGCAAAACTTAAGACGTACACCTCAGAATGAAATTCAGAAAATCCTTGTGAACTTTCTTCTTTCCTTACCTTTGCAGCAATTTGCTGTCCATCTTTAAGCACACCCTTATATACGTGACCATATCCACCTTCACCTAATAAGTTATCCATTGAAAAATCATTTGTTGCAAGTTGTATGTCAGAATAGCTGAACCTCATTGATTCCTTGATAGACAACTCAGTTCTTGTCCCACAGCCAGTACAAAGAAGCGGTGCATCTGAATGTTTTGGCAGAAAGTCACATTGGTTTTGCTTTTGATCAATCTGAGAAGTAATCAAATGCTTAAATTCTCCTTTGATGCTTGTACCTGCGTGATAATTAAAACTCTTATTTATTACAAAGAAGTAAGGACTATCTTGAATACATTATACGGGCACCCCAAGAAACCAAATACCACATTATAATTATAATATTCCACAAGATGTAAAGCGTAAGCTAATATAAGAGAGCTTCTAAAATTAATTTATTGGTAGTTAATTTTAGTTAATGAAGAAACTTATATATCTCATTTTTGTCTTCTAAAAATATTTCTGAAATTTTTTTTCCAAACAGACCTAAAATGAAAAATCAGTAAGTATAGGGTAAAAGGTTTAAACAGGCTTCTTGACCTGATCTTTCTTGCTTAGAAGAAGACCCAAAATCTGATATGGAACAGTGCTCCCGCGACCTGTTATCCTTATTTGACTGCTTTGTATAGCTCCTAATCGTACTAGAGCTATCAGAAGAATATATAGAATGGGGATAACTTTTGCAAGAGATAATAGACTGCTCAATGTCTTCAACGCTATGACAATCTGATAGAGACACCAACTTTGACAAAGAATATACAAACTTTGTTTCTATGACCTTTGTGTCATGTGCATATTGAGATCTCCAGATATCCAGAGACAAGTCATCTTTAACCAATGCCACTTTACATGGCATCTTGTTAAGGTGGTATCTCATGTCGCGCCGAAGATGTCTGTTCAAATTTACCCAATAAAGTTGAAAACTATCAGAAGAAAATAAATAGGAGAAACCAAGAAAAATGAAAGTTTATAAACCTATGTATCACTATTGGATATGCCTATTGCCAGATTAGGATAAGACAAGTTTATTTGGTAATATTCTCATTATAGTTTGTGATATACACCTGTCAAGTATTATCCAAGATGCATTATAGTTTGTGACCTCTTGTAAAAGAACCTGTTTAATTGGAAATCCCGCGGTGACTTTAACTTCGATACTAAGCTGCACATGAAGGTATTTAGTTACTAATTACTTCAATTTAGAAAATAATAGCACTTGAAAGCATTCGTTCTGATATTATGTTATTTACAGCCACGTTGAGGAGTTACAAGCATGCATTTGTTAAGAGTACTTGCAAAGCTCTCTAGAACTTAAATAATGTACCCCTTCACTTTCAAAATCTTCATAACTTGATAAAAGCTCACTTGCATATGTATCAACTTTCTTTTTGACTTCTTCCTCCATTGCACGAAAGCTGGTGCCAGCAAAAGACTCGGGACAAGGTAATGTCTGGTACCCCACTGTCAATTCAAAAGGAGGAACATAATAGTCATGCAATGAGTAAACAACGCATTGAAGGAACAATCTACCTATCTATATTAGTAATAAGTACCAACTTTCCTTCTATACACAAACTGATGCTTCAGATCAATTTGAATCAAGTAAAACGAGATAATTATCAACCATGTTTAGATATAAGTTTAAAAAAGGTAGGGTTTTTTTTTGTTTTTTTCAAATAAAAAAGCTTTGGGAAGCCTTTCTAAGCTTGTATCATTGTTCGATGTCTAAAATTTTTATATCATTTAAAAATCGAGATGAATCGAGGTTAAGACAAATTTATGAATGTTATCCTTCTTTAATCTATCGGATCGAAACGTCTTTTTAAAAATAAAATTATAACAATTTTCAACAAATATCATGGACAATAATTCATTTCCGGTGATCCTATCAAATTACACATACTTACGGTCGTATACAAGAATATCATTCAACACCTTAGTAGCACTAATTGTAATATTTGTTGCTAACAGTATCTATCTGCAATAACACTTACTAGGGTGAGACACCTTATGCAAGACACATAGCACAAGCAACTTGTCACCAGAAGAAAGAAAGACACCCCTGGTACGAACATGATTAACAACGAGTTTGATCTCGTGTTCAGTGCGGTCCCTAGTGGCATCACATGCAAAGATGACGTAAGATGCAGAAGGAGGGCTATCCATACGCAATTTCTGATGATGTTAAAGCTTCAACGTTGACATGAAATGGGGTGATCCAGAAAAGCAAAATAGCAATAACGTGATAACTGTACGTGGCATAGAGGAGTGAGAAATGATATCGATGATCGTCCAATGATTCAAGGACAGAAGCATGTTCTTCTCCCCTTCCAAAACAGCAGCACTAGTCATCTCTCTCTCGATGTGAAGTAACCGAGATAATATGCTTGAGGATATTCGTTGAGACATAAATAGAAGCAAACTATGCCGCCTTGGACAGTGCCAAGAGGGGAAGAGTACGAGGAACTTGAAGACAATGGTTGGTTAGTGTTTGCTTTCGGACATGCTTGCAAAGATTCTAGATTCTCTTTTTTCTTCACTTGTAAACTATTTGAATCTGTCATTTCTCAGCTTTAAACTATTCCATATTCCTTTCCCCTTCATTGCGTTGACACACTCAACATTCCTTCCGGTCAAGAAAGCAACAAACATGAAAGAGTATTAAACAAATAAAAAATAATTAGCTTTATCCCTTTGGGCAATATTTTGCATAGACATAGGCCCTGATACAATAATTGCAATATTTTTATATCTATGGTATAGGCAATCCGCAATGCAAACTATAGAGCAGTGTTTTGTGCATCTGCAAAGGGTGCCCACTTAAATTGAGCACATAGATATACATGGATTATTCTTAAGGACATGGTTAATATTAATAAAGTTTTTGTTAGTATATAATTTACGTGTGAGAGAAATAGGTAGACCACTTGATGCACCCAATGTTTAATTTTTGTGGAACCAAACTGGCTAATCTATGCCTGTGCAACCTAAGTTTATTTGCTTCTTGATGAATGATAATTTTATCTTCAATGGGAATATTATGTGCATTATTTTTATTGATTTGAGAAGTTGTGTTTGTTTCAAGTTTTTGGTTTCATACTCGATTCCAAGGACTAAAATTTACGTTGAAATGTTGTATTAAATAAGGCTATTATGGAACTGTTGAAATGTGGGGTACAGTCTATGAGATTGTGGTTGAGTTAGTTAGTGTTTAAGTTTGACAGGTATCATGTTTAAAAGTCTAGATATAATAGAATCAATGGAGGGCTTGCATGTTCCTCAAAATTCCCCATCAAGTCCATTTTTTTTCTCTTAGTTTGTGTTTCGTGATTTTTAGATACATATTGTTAGGCCTATATACTACAAGAAAAAGTCAAATTTCCTACGGATTATTTCCCACAGACCAAAATCTTTATCAACCTTAACCCTTCTTGGACTTATCTTTTCCAAAGGGATTCTTGGGAAGTAGGCTTCCATCACCCCCTCCCTCTTCAAAAGGATTTGTCTTCAAATCAAGTGGTTCTTCCACATAGACAACATCGCTTACAAGAAGAAACAGAAAACCAAGCATTACAGATGATATATTCATGTAATATGTGTAGAAAATATACCTTATGAGGAATTCCTTCTATAGGCCTAACAACATTCCCTAAAGTAGGAAAGATAGACTCTATAAGGATAAGGATAGGTATTGAGATGGTTCCCAGCCCAAATGGCCTCTTCCTCACACAAGACAATTACATTTATGACATTGTTAAAAAATTTAATATGCAAGATTCTAAATCAGTCTCAACACCTATGTTTACCTTGAATGATCTTGCTGCTTATGGTGACACACATTCATGTGATGCACAAGAGAATCATCAACTTATTGGCTCACTTTAATATCTCTCCTAGACCCGACTCAATGTTGCTTATTATGTTTCTAAATTATCACAGTACATGCACACTATAAAATAAGAATGTTAAAAAAATTTGTATTCATGGGTATTCGTATAAAATTCGCAACAGATTGAAAATGAATATTGTAAATGGATACTCGTGTATAACGAGTATGAATCTTTTTTATACTTGCATGTTAACAAGTAGGGTATAGGTATCATAGTATTCGTATTCGCAAATACCTATACTCGTTAATATTTAATTTATTTAAACTTTTATGAATTTAATTTTATTTAAACTTTTATAGATGAATTTGATTTTATTTGAACTTTAATTATTTGGACTTATAATAGCTAAGTAATATGTTAAGTCAGACGAAGCAATTTCCAGCAAAGTTTTGAATGAGACAAATATAATACATATTGTTATTTCTAATATGTGTGTTAGTGTTTTAGAAAAACATAAGTATAGGCAAGTTGAAGAACAAAGCATGTGCTACTTCTTATACTAGAACCAAGATAAAGGAAGGAAAGCTTCAAGCATCAGATGGAAAGGTCAAATGAAGCCAAGTCTAGCAAAAGTTGGAAAATGATCAAGCTTCAGACGAAGCACATTCAAGAACGAGAATAAGTCCATACAGACCACAAATGAAGATCTGTCAAGGCAAAGCACAACACGAGGATTAGATGAAGCAAAGTCAAATGCAAGATGAAATACGACATGAGCACCAAACGATGTTGGATCAAATACCAAATGTAGGTGTGTCAAGCACAACCTAAAGGGCCATTTTAGTGACGAAATTTGTGACGGATTTTTTAGAGACGAAGTTCATTCCGTCACAAAATCCATCACAAACATTTTTTTTATTTAGCGATGAAATTTGTGACGGATTTTTGGAAACGAAAATTTTTCCGTCACAAAATCCGTCACAAATTTTTTTTTTGATTCAGTGACGAAATTTGTGACGGATTTTTAGAGACGGAATATATTCCGTCACAAAATCCGTCACAAAAGTCAATAAATTCTATTCGTCACAAAACTTAAAATTCCCTCACAAAATGCGTCACTATTAGCGATGCTATTTTTTCCGTCACAAAATTCGTTACAAATATTAATTTTTCTAGTAGTGAATAAGATTGATGTAATTTCTCCTTCAGGTTTCTAAGGAAAAGGATCTACATTTCTTGGACTCCTTCAAGCTTCATCAATGGCTTCCATGGATGTTATAAGCCATTTTCACCATAGAAGATGATGTAGAGAGTCTCCTTGGTGGTACCATACACTTGAAGAGTGATAAATCTCTTCAACTTCTCATCACACTCGAGAGAGAATAAGAGAAAAGAAATAATTTTAAAGAGAGAAACAATCTTTGAAAGAGAAATTGGGAAAGAATACTTTGCCAACTCAATATAAATCTCAAAGTTAGTACAAAAATGAGTACAAAGATACAATATATAGAGTTCAGTTAGCTTGTGGTACAAGTTAGATTAACCATGCTTAAATGTAACCATGGTTAGGTATCTTGTATTTAAGCTAACTAACTCTAGTTAAATGACTAGAAGTTTAGTTAATTGTCTAGAAACTTTATGGAGCAAGCTAAGTTAATCATAGTTTAAGAATAACTTAAGTTAGCTTAAGTTAACTCCAACTATCTAATCTAATCATTACAACTACTAAACTAATGATTACTTTTAACAAGTTGTTGAGATATCACTATCAAATTCATGTAACTTAATTTAGAACTTGGATAGAAAGCTTGGCATGGTTTGAATGTCCAAACCACTTGCATAAGCAAGTAGATGTCCAAACCTATGGGGTGGGCCATAAAAATATTTGGTCCATCCAAGCCCAATAAGCCTATCATGACTTTAGTTAGTTACACCTCCCCTAAACTACTAACTACACCCTTAAGTAAAAACAATACAAGGATTAAATTATCTACACTACTTGATCCAAAATATAAGGTAAAAAATATACTAATTCAATCTCTACTAAAATTAATTACAAGTAAGAAAAATATATAACAACTATAAGAGCCCTTTAAGGTAGGGTAGGCCTTCAAAGGGTCGAGTACCCTTCAAAATAAGGGTAAGTGCCCTACAATTCTTCAAACCAACTTTATCAACCTTAACCCTTCTTGGACTTATCTTTTCCAAAGGGATTCTTGGGAAGTAGGCTTCCATCACCCCCTCCCTCTTCAAAAGGATTTGTCTTCAAATCAAGTGGTTCTTCCACATAGACAACATCGCTTACAAGAAGAAACAGAAAACCAAGCATTACAGATGATATATTCATGTAATATGTGTAGAAAATATACCTTATGAGGAATTCCTTCTATAGGCCTAACAACATTCCCTAAAGTAGGAAAGATAGACTCTATAAGGATAAGGATAAGATCCTCACTATAATATAGTATATGCGTAAAACTAAATGCTAAAAATGTGAAGGTACTAAAACTATAACAAACTAAGGAAATACTCATACAAACTAAGGTATCTTGCTTGAGGTACCCTGTGTAGTAACCTAGGCGTAATTTGTACAAGTTATACTGACAACATACATATACATTTGGGTAGCTTTCTCATAAGAACTTCACAATTAAGCGTGCTTGACCTGGAGTAGTACAGGGATGGGTGACCTTCTGGGAAGTTTCCTAGAAATTGCACAAGTAAGGTTAGAACACACTAAACAATGAAATATCGTGAAATAGAACCCTTGAGAGGCCAAGTATGAGGGTTGTTACATTAATAAATTTATTAAAATTAAAAAAAAAATTATAATTTTCGGGTAATTTCCCACGGATTCCGTGGGAAAGTTACCCACGGATAAATCCGTGGGTAAATTTCAGACGACCAATTTACCGACGGATTAGTGTCCGTCGATAATCCATCGGAAACACCTCATTACCCACGGATTTTGGGCATTTCCCACGCCTCATTACCTTAGAAGTCACAAGACTCTAATACCATGTTGACATGTGGAGTGCAGGCTAGGAGAGTGTTCTTAGGCTAGTTAGGCTAGTTAGTATTTAAGTTTGAGAAGTGTCATATTGTCTAAAAAGTCTAGACTTAATAGATTCAAACATATTCAACTTATATACACTTTAGTTTTCTCTATTTTAGGCATTGTGAGACTTGTATATTCTCCACGAGAAACTAATTTAATTGTGAAAGTCATTGGAAGCTTCAAAATAGAAGATACCATTACATAAGAAAATCCGATCCCTTTATACATTTTGATAATCAGATTTAGTACAATTTCTTGTTTGAATTGACAATATCTACAATGGAACATCAGAAGGATAATCTTTGGGATGCTTCTCGATGGTATTTCTAAGTAGTCTCTCTTGCTCATGAAGGTTTGATGGTATTTGGTCATAGACATCATTAAACATGTCCTCAAGTGGAGGCTTTTGTGCTTTCTCTGCCACCTGAATCGCTTGCACTAGCTGTGTGGCAAAGTAACATATATCCGAAAACAAAATTATCAGAACACGTTGGTGTGCACAAAGATAGACAAAACTGCAATATACAAAATAAAATTAAGTAATCAACCTGCTTCCTAATACCGCTTCTAAGCTCCAATTCATCTTTGTCACTCCACCAACCATTCCCTTCTACCCATCTTTTGAATCTATTCACAGGATTCCTTTCCATCTTCCAATATTCAATCTCATCAATTGGCCGGTACTTAGTTGAATCATCAGATGTAGAGTGATGTCCTACTCTATAAGTGAGAGCCTAAAGGTTATGCAGCAATTAGCATAAGATTGGTGAAACACTAAAATGTTGTGGTATCAACAATGATCATCTTAGTATGAAGGGAGATCAATTCACCTCAATTAAAACTGGTCTTTTTTCTCTTATAGCTATTTCTCTAGCAGTGTGAACCGCGCTATAAACAGCAAGAGCATCATTTCCGTCTACTCTGATACCCCAGGTGCCATAAGCTTTACATTTGACTACAATGCCATCACCTAACCAAACAGGAAAAAACATTTGTTTATAGGGCTTCTAATATCTGAAATAAATCACAGACTTAAACTTGATACATTTGATCAAATAAAAAGCAAAGCTTAGTGAGATATCAAATAGGTATGGTGGGACTAATTTTATTTTGTTTTATCTATAAAAAGAGTGTCACAAAAGAAATTAATTGAAAAATAGTACTTCGAAATTGTTCTTCTACAGGTGTGCTAATGGCCCATCCATTGTTACGACAGATGAAAACAACAGGGGCATCCATTACTGCTGCAAAATTCATAGCTGCATGAAAATCTCCCTGCAATATTTGATGTGATCAGGTAATAGCAATAAGCATCAATGGTGTTCCATTTTATTACTAATTAAGAGTAAGATGGTTCATTTCCACTAACCTCACTGGTACTACCATCCCCACAATAAGTGACAGCACATGCACTTTTCCCATCCATTTTAAGGGAATAAGCAGCGCCTACAGCTTGAGGAAGTTGTGTTCTGAATTTCTTGCCAAACAACATTAACTTGTTCAGAGAGCATGTCACAAATTAACAATGTGATTAATTGCAATGATTTGAACATGTTCTATACAATAGTAGGTGTGTCTTACGCAATGGGGGATGACACTGTGAAGTAATTGAGCTTGTTAGAGCCATAATGTATAGGCATTTGCCTGCCTTTCCCAAAATCATGTGTGTTTCCAAAGCATTGATGAACAAATTGTTGCAGTGTAAAACCACGCCACAATAGAACTCCAGGTTCCCGGTACTGGCAGTGACAACATGATACACATTTTCATTATCAACAAACATGTATGTGTGCATGTCATAAAAATCTGTGATAGAGTTGTTCATTTTGCTCTCTTATTTACTAGTGAATAAAAAAAAGATTAGGCTACTTGAAGCTGAAATATTTTAGAGTTTCAAAAATCATAATAATCAAGGAGTTGAATTTTAACACCTCAATAATCATTTTCAAACCTGAGGCAATATGACATCATCAGGAGAAAGTGCAGCTGCGGATGCAATGTTAACTACTTCTTCCCCCATTGAGGTGAGGTAGAAGGAAATTCTACCTTGCCTCTGCACTTCATAGAGTACGCTGTCCATAGTTTGAAGAGTGACCATGTCAGAATACATCTTCACAGCAATTTCCTTGCTAATCTGTTGAATTATTGTGCAGAGATTATTCCACAATCAGTTGTGCTAATATCCAGCCACTAAGTAACAATGTTCTTTATAAACTTTCTACTAATCCTGAAAAATGTTATGTTTTTGAAATATTATATACATTACTTTCTTCTTCTTTTTTATCTAATGCATTCTTAGGAGAATTAATCGAAGAATATTGTAGAGAAATATAACAGTAATTTATTTCTCTGACAACGCTAGAGTCAAATTTTAGTTACTAAAATTAGGTTTGGATGTATGTAGCAAATAGAAAAAAAAAAAAAAAAAATAGTGGGGAGGGATGAGAAATAGTTGTGGAAAAATAAGTTTGACCGTTTTGTTGATGAAAATTTATTTGGTATAAAATTAAAAGTAGTGAAATTCATATATTTTATTTCTTCACAAAACTATGAAAAAATAAATGAGAAATTAACAAGGAAAATTGCCTTTATTTAAATAAACGTATATTTACTCAAATGAAAAAGTATTCAGAACTTATTTTATTTAAGTAAACATATGTTTATTCTAATAAATATGTTTTATTCTAATAAACATATACTTATTAGAATAAAATAATTATTTCACTTAATTATACTTTTGTATGTAATAGAAGAATAAAAATATAATCTTATATTAATTTTTTAATTCATTTAAATTAAACAATTTTATAAAAAAAATTTATTTTTTAAATTAAATAATATTATTTTTACTTTATTATTTACTTATTTTTTTTTCTTCTATTTTTTTTCCACTCAATTGGTTTATTTCTATTTAGCATTCGAACACAGTATAAGAGTGCTGAAATGTGATATGATATGATACCTGTACATAGTTGCTGTATTGAAGGAGCTGGCCATTATCATCAAGAACACGATAACAGGGCACCCTTTTCTGAGCAGACTCGGAAATAAATTTCATTTCAGAAGTAAATCCAACTTTTCCTCCTGGAAAATCAATCACCTGACACAGTGGGACACAGTGAGAAGCAAAAAAATATAATAATAATCTTTTGGGAGCAGTTTAATAATAGTATCTTCTATAAATTCATTATTAAGATTTCGTAGGCTTAGATTATGGAGTATTTTAAATTAAATTAACAGCTGGCCTTCTTCACTTGATTATTTTAAAAGACATAATTAGTTTAGATAAGTATTATCTTTAGTTGGTGAGAGTGAAAAATTGAAAATTATAATATCTAGTATGAATATGAAAATAAGACGGGCAAGTTCTATAAAAGAAATTAACAGGATTTAATATCAAACAAAGTGAGTTAAAAAATACAATTTATTAAAAAAAAAGGCATTATACATTAAAAATATGTTAATAAAAAAACATGATTAAAATAATATATTTTTATTTCATATAAAATAAAAATAATTATGTAAAAAAATTAAAATATAAAATAAAAATATTGATCTAATATAAATTTACAATAAATTTATCTTTTAAAAGCTTTCTTAAAAGATGAATTAATGGATTGATCCATCGAATTGACAAATGAATCACTAGGTTGATAGGTTTGATGAAGTGAATTTGGATGGATTAATGAATTTATTTATCTAATTTAATTCATCAAAATTAGATAAATCGAGAAATTGACCCACCAAATTAAATAGACTACATCGCTCTCAAAGATTCAAAGTGAATTAAAAACTTGGCCTAACAAGCTATTTGAAAAGATTTTCCTACCCACTTATTGCATTATTGCTGGTCTGACTCAACTACACATCACGGGTAATTAGTTGAGTTTAGACAATTATGAATTTTAAATTATTTTTGTTAATAATTTATACTATATCAATAATAATATCAGAAAATTATGAATTTTAAATTATTTGTGTTAATAATTTATATTAAAATCTAAAATTTATCTATTAAATAAATATTCTGTATAAATGACATTTAAATAAATTTACCTAGTAAATAAACTTTATAGTTTTAATTGTTCGGTTTGTCAATTTAAGGCTTATAAGTGGTAAGCCCAGGATATTTTTAAACTCCAATTTTGTATTTTCCTTAATTTGTAATATAACTCATTTTTAAGAATAGATTAAACAGTGTCACAACTGACTTTATCCTTGCTGTGTTGAGTTGGTGAAAAGGAGTACATCTCCTTATCAAATAAAAATAAATGTAATCAACTTAGTTTTTAACACCGTTAAATCTATTAAATATTGTTAATTTAATATATAACATTTTTAATTTAGTCCTTACCTATGTAATATTCATTCTTAGTTTAGTCCTTATATATATATATATAAGACGATCAAATTAAAAATATATTAGTTATGTAAGGATCAAATTAAAAATGTCCTACATATATAAGAATCAAATTAAGATCATATAAGAAAGTTAAAAGTGGCAATGGAATAATAAATTAATCAATCAATGGGTGTGGGGCTTTATTGTTTATTTTATTTTATTTATGACTCTCGTTACTTGATAAGGAATCGAAGATGGATAACATTACCATTTTAATTATAAACGGATGAATATTTAATAGTAAGGATTAAAATAAAAAATAAATTAAAAATTTTAAAAACTAATTTTAAATTTGAGATATAAAAAATAAATTTAATTTAAATTTGACGAACTAAAATTTTTTAAATTTTAAATTAAATTAATGTCAATTATAAAAAAATATATATATATATATATATGCTATGTTTCGGTAAAAAAAATAAAAATAAAAAAGGGGACAGATGAAAATATATAAAATTTGAATTGAAATAAAAATTATAAAATCGAACTTTTGTTTGCAAAAGTCATTTTTATCTTTTCTTATTCTTTTTCTTCTTTACTTCTTAATTAAATAAAAAATATATATCATTATCCCTTTTTCCTACTGTGTTTCCTCTGAGGGATGGTGATTTTGGATTTGTATGTGTGTGTGGTTTCAACATATGGAGCAGTTTTATATATAAATAATAAAATAAAATAATAATAATAATTTTTATTGATTTTTAAAATAAAATTATTTATTAACATGGTCATCAAAATAAATAAAATTATTTATAAAAATAATCGACTTCTATTCTTTCTTTTTTCAAACAATTTTTATTTTTATTTTATTTTTAAAAAAAATTCTCTATATTTTTTTTCTCTTCTTTTCTTTTCCTTTTAAGTGGGAAGGAATTAAGATAGTTAAAAACATGAGAACCTGACTTCAATCCTCGTTACGATTATTTTTATAATTTTTTTTATCAAAAAAATAAAAGTTGCAAACAAATTATACAAGCATCGTGTTTTACACGTGATACCAACTTTAATAATAAGCAGTCAGTCACATCAGCACATGTCTCTACTATTTTTTAGGAACTCCTGACTTTATCATATGGATCAACTCATGGACAATAAATAAAATCAAAATTTTATAGAACAATAAGTTGTGATATGCTTTTTTTCCTTAAAAAAATTACCTTTTTTTTCTTTATTTCTTCCATCCCTAGCTAAGCTTTTAAGAAAATAAACGTTACTCTTTTAAGAAAAATTTTATAAAAAAAATCTTCTTTTATTTTGTGGCTCGATCATGTAAAATCTAAGTGAGAGTTAAATACTAAAAGAATTTAACTAGATTTCCCTTTATATGTTCATTCAATAACAATTTTTATATACAGTAAATTTATTAACTATTATAGTGATTGTTTTTTTTGAAAATATAGCTAAGATATTATTTCATTATTTAATTATATACAATCTTTACAAAAGCATATCCGAAAGGTAGTTGTTAGAGGATAAGACATAAACAATTCTATATAATATATTATCTCTTGATATTATTTAATCACAAAAAACTTTTTATTTATAATAGTATATATTCACATAAATATCTATCAATTTTAACAGAAATTAGTTTCTTTCAAAATTTTAACAATATTAAAATTATTTTTCTCAGTTTAAAAATCAACTACAATATCAATAAAGCTAAGGATATTGGTAATCACAAAAGACAAGATTATGCAATGAATTAATTATTAAAATAAACAATTTAATAAAACGCATAAATATATTTTTTTATTATATCTTTATGGATATATTCTACGGCAATAACACTATTGAACGTGTTACTTTGTCACTTCGACGTAACATCATTCACATATCTTATCGGTCGAAAGAAGAGCCATCAAAAGGTACGGACAACTTAAAGATAGCCTACGAATAAGACTGCAAGTTTGGAAATTGGAACCAACATAATTGTAATTAAGTTTTGTACGTACCAAGGTGCATACCTAACTTATCATTAATCGCACATATAAATACAACTAGTTTTTCAAGTGATTAATTAATAATTACATTTACAGTTAAATATTTTTATAATTTTATACTATTAATTATTATTAAGTATTATAAGATTTTTTTATCAGAGATATTCTCCACCTAATTTTACACGTGATATTGTGGTTATATGGTAATTAATTAGTGTTGGTCCGAAAACTTTTCATATACGACAAATTATTCGAATAGAAATTTTCGTTAAGTAAATCGTTTAATGTATAAATGGATTGTTGAGATACAAATAAAGTCTTTGTTTAAATAAGAGAATGAACATAGATTTATATATACATAATTATTTTTATTAGTAGAAAGATCTTTTGAGTGATGTCTAAAAATAAATCTGTAAAGACTTCGACCCAAAACGAATAATATCTCGCCAACATGAAGACAATTATACGTGTGAAGAAACTCGATAATACTCAACATGCATGATGGAGTTCGTGATATTATTATCTAAAAATTGAACCATATCTAGTTATAAAAATAAAATTTAAACCATATTTCACACACAGAACCATATCTAGTTATAAAAATAAAATTTAAACCATATTTCACAGACATTGATGAATCGATTTACCTTATAATTAAGGAGTCCGTGAGACATTCAAATCCGACATCTACTATATTATACGTGTCTCTCATAAATAAGAGGGGAAAAAACTGATCCATCCATTTGAATGTTTCATAGACTCCTTAAAGCAAATAGAGAGGATATATATGGAGTTCTAAGAGTTTGAAAAGTTGGCATAGATGATGAGTTGTTAAGGTGAAGTTTAGTTACACTAATTCAAATGATAATTACCTGAGTAGAGTAATCGCCGGTGACATCATGGTCCAATATTTCCAATTGTGCCTGAGCTTTGGTGGATTCATGACGTGAGAAGGGTGAAGAAGAAGAAGCTAAGAAGAAGGAGGGGAGGGTTTTGTGAAGGTGTTTATGATGAGTTAAGATCCTAGACGTTCCCAACAACCAAGATGCCATTGATCTTTTATGAGCAAAAAAAGAGAGGTTTGGAATGAAGGGGCTGGAAGCAGAGGGAAGGTTACTTGATAAGGAGAAAGAGTTAATTAAAATGGTGCAGATGGCAAAGTTCCACTCTACCACACGTACTTATCTTAATTAGGTGTTGTTTGTTGTGGGAGTGGCATGATGGATGGGCATTGGAAGTGGCTAAAAGTTCATATCATCCTTGTCATGGGACCACGTTGGATTCTAGATTGTTGTTATCTTCAACAATTATTTCGGGAAGATGGCTAAATAATTCACATTTTTTTTCTCAATACTTTGTTGTTATTATTATTAGATAAAATTTTATATAGTTTAATAATGTGAATTTTCTTTGTATTGACAGGAATAAGAGTCCCTTTGGCAGGAAAGAAACAAATAAATGAGAAAGATAATGTATGGAAATAGAAAAAAGTGAATTATAACATGTGAGAGATAAATAATTATAAGAGAAATTCTATGGTACCCATCTTATTTGAGAGGGTACCGGTACAGTTTTTTATATTTTATATTTTTAGTAATTTATTTAAATAATATTTATGATATTTTATTTTTTCAATTTTTAAATTATTTAATCATTTTATTTTTATTTTATATATTTTAATTTATTTGTAATAATATTATTATATATTTAAATATTTTAATTTTAATAATTTTTTAAGTATATTTTTATCTTTTCACTTAAAATTTTTGAATTTTTATATTTTAATTTTAATAATTTTTTAAGTATAATTTTTGTCTTTTTGTCTTAAATTTTTGAATTTCTATATTGTAATTTTAATAACTTTTTATTTCTACTATTTATTATTTTTTTCTTTTTCTTTAATATTTTATAATATTATTGAAAACTTATAATTTTAATCTCTATAATTTTATCTTACTTTTTATTTTATAAGTATAATTTAGATTATTTATTTTATGATTAAATTAATTTTTTTAAAAAAATTTATGAGTTTACATAGAAAAATGTATTGAAACCCTTCCATCTTTGAAGGTACCGTAGCAACTCTCATGGAGGCATGTTATAGCGGCCACTTTGATCACATACTAATTAAGCGATCGTCCAAGACCCTATTATTAGAGGAACACCACAAAAAAAAATTATTTGGTTTATATAAATATAAAAAAAAATTATATAATTAAATTATTAAAAACATATTAGAGAAAATAAAATAATTATGAATAGTTAATCAATAATCAATTTTTTTACTAATTAACAAAAATTTATAAATAATTTTAAGAAAATAAATTGATAATATTTAATGTACAGAGAAAAATTTGATATATTATTAACTTATTTCCTTTTTTGTGTTTTTTGGTGTGAACTTTCAAAAGTATTAAAGTAAAATGAAAAATCAAAGTTGTCTTTAATTTTCACATTTTTTCTTTATCAATAATTTATTTGATTTTCTTTCTATTTTTAAACTATGACTTGTCTTATTTTGAGAAAATCTCAAAATCAAATTATGAAATCTCTACCTCTTCATCGTGAGATTCTCTGTAATGTGTTACAATTATTGATCCATTATTTGTTACATAATACTCTTTAACAATAACTCATAGTCTCACAGGAATATATGGTACATTTAGTCATTCTTTATACAACTGTGTGTTTTTACACTTTTAGGCTTAAAAACTAGGATCATAACTCATAAGTAAATTCAGGTATTTATGAGGGCATTACTTTTTCACTTCGTCCAAGGCACCAAAAACCCCAAGACCAATCCTGACATATTATATGTTATTTGTGTATTAAAGGTTACCATAATTGACTATGATAGGATCTAATACATTATGTGACATGTTATCTTATTTGTGTATGTGAGTTCACCTTAATCAATTATGATTAATAAATAATCAATTATGCAGATAATACGAATGGGTCCAATGCAACATAACTTAATTAGTTATACCAACTAGCATAACCATTATGTAACTAAATCATATTAACTAATAAAAATCAAATAATATTTGTTGATAGAAAGAAATGAGTAAAATTGTAATTATTTAAATTATTTATTTTCACATGAAATGTTAACTATATAAAATACAATTTTAAAATATTAAATTTTTTCTATTTCTTACTTAATTTTACTCTATCACACAATTACAAATTTTACTTTATTTTACTTATTTTCTACTAAATCATCATTTCCTTCAATTCCTTTCCCTTAACCAAACAAAGCATAAAAGCATCTAGTTTAAGAAAAATAATAGAATAAATAAATTGGTAAAAAAATATAATTAAAATAATGTTAAGTCAAAAGACGATATTAAATCCCTCAAACTCTCAATTTTAATGATAACAAATAGAACATTTTTTTAAGAGAAAATATTTTTGCGAAATGCTTATTAGATGAAACATAAGACACAATTTGTTAGAGAAATGATGTGTCATCAAACGAAGTATACATACTATCTTTATAAAGTTTTATATGTTTATTATTTATAATGACTAACAACTACTTTTTTCATGTCTAAGTGATTTCTTAACAGAACAAATTAAGAAAGCTCTTTTAAACTCACAAATCTATTAAAGAGAATAAAGTTATGCCTTGCACCAAAACTAAGAACAAATGAGTCTTTGAAATCACAGATGTGAAGTCCCACATCGGTTCGGAAGGAGAACGAAGCATGCCATATATATGGGTGTGGATACCTTCCTTGTGTGGACGCGTTTTGGGGTGGCATGCGTGTCATTGCCAGAAGCAAAACCGTGAGGGCTGCGGCCAAAGCGGACAATATCCACATGCGGGTTGCTGGGGTGTTACATTTGGTATCAGAGCCGGGACCCGGGCCGGTGTGCCAGCGAGGGCGCTGGACTCCCATGAGGGGGGTGGATTGTGAAGTCCCACATCGGTTAGGAAGGAGAACGAAGCATGCCATATATATGGGGTGGCATGCGTGCCATTGTCAGAAGCAAAACCGTGAGGGCTGCGGCCAAAGCGGACAATATCCACATGCGGAAGCAAAACCGTGAGGGCTGCGACCAAAGCGGACAATATCCACATGCAGGTTGCTGGGGTGTTACAACAGAGAGTCAACAAAAGTTGATGTAAAAATTGCTCCTCGCTAACACACGCTGCAGATAGTTCGTTCAATATCCTAAAAATGATAAGTAGTCTCCTTGTTCAGATAAAAAGTGACAATTTGATGAAATAAATTTAATGCAAGCATTTAATGCATCAACAAACACTTCTCACCTTAAAAAACTTATAACGAAGACAAACAAGGTAAGCTTGTGAAGAACCCTTAAAGTTTTACAATGTTCATCTTCATTCGGCCTACTATAAGAAGCTTTATGATTAGAAAGAATAGAAAAAGACAACCTTTTTGTACTTAACTTGTATTACATCTTGATAAGAAGACGAAATATTTTTGTAAACCTTAGTAACTTAAGTTATTGGGTTTGAGTTTGGAAAGATTTATTTGTAAAAGAATACTTATTGTTTGAGTTTGAAGAGATTTTTCTGTAAAAGAATACTTGTTATTTGGGCTTGAAAAAGTTTGCTTATAAAAGAATACTTATTTGAGTTTAAAGAGACTTAACTGTTAAAGAATACTCGATGTTGAAACCTGAAGAGACTTTGTGTTAAAAAAATATCTGGGTAGATTGCTTGAAGAGACACACTACTAAAATTTCTCCTATTACATGTGACTTTTCCTGCGAATTTTTCATAAAAATTCGTAGGAAACGTTGTTCCTACAAAATTTTCTGCGAAATTTTATCTGCAAGTAATACCTTCATGAATAATATATTTTTGCAAATTTTAAAATTCACAGGAAATTTTCCTTCAAAATTTCTTGCAAAAAAATTCGCAGGAAAGTTTCTTACGAATTTTTTCGCAAGAAATTCTGCATGAATATTTTTTACGAAAAAAATTAAAAAAAATTACTATAAATTCTATCAATAATTCTTCAACTTTAAAATGCTCACAATGAATTCATCCGAAGCATTTGTTTCCATGTCTCCAACATGTGATACATAATCTTTTAAATTCTAAGATTGTAGATTATAAGCCTAATACTTAACCATACAAATCAACTTGTAAGGTAAGTGTTGCCCCAACTTATATACTCTTTAATTGTTTTATTTTCAATTGATGTGAAACTTGAAGTTTTTTTAAAATATTAAACTTATAATTTTTAAAAAAAAATTATTTTTCCTGCGGATTAAAATTTGCAGGAAAATCCGCAGGAAAAGTTACCTGTAAATTTTTTTTACCATTTAGAAAATATTACTTACGAATTTATTTTTGCAACAAATCTGCAAGAAACAAAATAAAATTCTTACAATATTTTTTACAAATTTTTACCATGAAAAATTTATTTTATGATCATTAAAATTGTAGCAAAATTTGCAAAAATTTCTTGTAAATTATTTTTTGTAAAAAAATATCTGTAAATTAATTTTCGCAAATAAACTCGTCAAAAAATTTTGCAAAATTTTTATTGCAAGAAAATTCGCAAAAATTTCTGCGAATATTTTTTTTGTAGGAAAATTCGTAGGAAAATAACATTTTTCTAGTACTGACAATTTAAATAACACTTAGGTAGTCAGAAGTAGCTCGTTGAAAGAATCTTTATTTTGTTTAAGATAATGAAACTTAATCTGGTTAGATTAAGAATTAGATGTAGTCTCAATAATTGAGACAAATTAGTATAAAAATAATGTGTTTGTATCTGTTTTCTCTTCAACATTCTTAATTGTTAGCGTAACTACTTCACTACCTAAAAAAATATAAGTTTTCAATTGACATTATTTAACCCCTTTCAATGTCTACTTTTTCTCCACAAATAACTAATAACTTCACAACTTTTTATTTTTCTCCTCTTTCTCATTTTTTAACCAAAAATACAAACTATTTTATGGTTGTCCTCTTATTAATGTAGGCTTAAAATAAATTTTAAAATATTGTTTAAAATATATATTATAATTTTATTTCAAATTTAGTTTTTTTCCTTCTTAAATATAAAATTACTTATTATACAAATCATTATTATTATTATTATTTTAAGAGAGTTCATCAATTATGTTACATTTGTTTTTACCATAACTAAAGTAGGATGTACATTTTTTTTATTCATCAAAATTGAACTTAGTAAAAGA